CAGAGAGGCTTAAAAAATATTTAAATAATTTTATTCACCCTGATCAGAATGGATTTTTACCAAAGAGACAAATTAAAGACAATATGAGGATAATTCTGGATACATTGGAATATTACGAGGCGCATCCTGAAAAACAAATGGCTTTGATATTCTTAGATGCCCAAAAGGCATTTGATAACGTGAATTGGAGATTTATGCTATTATTATTGGAACAGATGGGCTTTGCTAGAAAATTTATTCAAGCAATAGAAGCCATATATTATGAGCAAACGGCAAAAGTAATGATAGATGGAGAACTTACAGACTCTATTAATATTAAAAAAGGTACAAGACAAGGATGTCCATTATCTCCTTTGTTATTTGTATTGACTTTGGAAGTGTTAAATAGAAATATTAGAGAGGATACAAATATAAAAGGAATGAAAGTGAAAAAGGAGGAATTCAAATTGCAAGCCTTTGCAGACGACTTGGTCTTTATTTTGGAAGATCCTCTTGAGACAGCTTTAAAATTATTCGAAAAGATAGAGATGTATGGTGAGATGGCTGGCTTGAAAATAAATAAAGACAAAACAAAGATTTTGACAAAGAACATGTTATTAAGAGAAAGAGAAGAGCTGACAGACCTATTGAAAATTCAAGTTACGAATAAAGTTAAATATTTGGGGATATATTTGACGTCAAGATGTACTACATTGAAAGAGAATAACTATAATAAACTTAAGCAGCAGATAGCATCTGATCTGAAAAAATGGGAAAACTTACAATTGTCACTGATAGGTAGAATTTCAACAATTAAGATGAATATTTTACCTAGAATGTTATATTTGTTTCAAACAATACCAATTAGGTTAGGTAAAGATTATTTTGAAGAATTAAATAAAATTGTGTTGAAGTATATATGGCAAGGTAAGAAAGCGAGAATAAAATTAAAACTTTTACAGGATGCTAGAATTAGAGGAGGATTTGGTCTTCCTAATTGGGAGTTGTATTATCAAGCTGCAAATTTAATGTGGGCTAAAGAATGGATAACGTTAAGAAAGACTAGATTGTTGGCATTAGAAGGACATGATTTACTATTGGGTTGGCATGCTTTTCTATGGTATAAGGGAACTAAATCACAGGGTTATTTTAGAAGGCATTATATACGGGAATCGTTATGGTTGAATTGGGAGAAAATTAAGAAACAATGTTATTTGAAAATTCCAGTTTGGTTATCAACTATTGAAGCCTTTTCTTATCCTATAATTTATAAGAAGGAACAAACAGTTAGATATGGGGAATTACTAGATGAAAAGAGTGAACTTAAAACGATGCAAAATTTAGAAGAACAAGGTATAAAGATGAATTGGTTTTCATACGCGCAAATACATTCAAGGTATCTTAAAGATTCCAAAATGGAAGGATTTTATGATAAAATGACTGATTTAGATAGGATTTTGACAGGTACTGATGAAAAAGTGATTAAAAAATTATATAATTATTTGTTGGAAATTAAATTGGAGGATGAACAAGTTAAAGAAACGATGATTGCTTGGGGGAAGAATTTTGGATATGGGATTGACTTAGAGAAATGGCAAAAGTTGTGGTCTCAAAATTATAAAATGACAATGTTAACAGCATATAAAGAAAATTTGTATAAGATGTTTTACAGGTGGCATTTTCCCCTGACAAGAATAGCAAGAATGTTCAAGAACAAATCTGAAAAGTGCTGGAAATGTCATCAGATTCCTGGTTCATATTACCATATGTGGTGGACTTGTGAGGAGGCCAGGAAATACTGGACTAGAATTCGCATATGGTTGGAAAAAATGACAAAGAAACATATAGATTTGAAGCCAGAGATTTTTTTATTGGGAATCTTACCTGATACATATAATAAAAACTTAAAGTATTTGATTGTAAATGTATTAACAGCGGCTAGAATTGTATTTGCTAAAAATGGGAAGAGTGAGAAAATACCATTAGAGGAAGAAATTATTAAGAAAATATTGGAATGTGCTGAAATGAGTAGATTGACATTTGAAATTAGAGAACAAGAAGAGAAACAATTTTATGAAGTTTGGGATCTTTTTTATCAATGGTTAGATAATACAATATAATAATAGAATAGTTAGAAATTTAGGAAATAACGAATATACATTTTTTCTTGGTCTTGATAACACTTTTAGAATATTTTATTAAGATAGACTTGGTATGATTTTATGATTTGTTATAAAATAAAGTAACTAAATTACAGTTATCTCGCTTAAGTATGAATTAGTAAAATTATAGTCAAATGATTGTTTAATGATATTAGGATATATAATTGTTGATTGACAATATGAGTTATTATGTAACATAATTATTATGACGACTATGAAATGGATGCACAAAAAGGAGTGGTAAACCAACCGATACACTGTCTGTAAATATATGAAGAATGATGATGTTTTTTATGTTATGTTTTATGTTTTTTGTGTTTTTGTTTGTCGTTAAAATCAATAAAACTTTTATTAAAAAAACAACAACTATATGTATAATATTGAATTTTAATATGAGAAATGTTATAAATTTATCAATTGAAGTTAAAATGATTGTAATTTTTGTTACAAGTGGAATTAGAATCTACAGAAAAATAAGGATTGCTGGCTGTCTTCTGAAAACTGATTGTCCTAGAGTAATACAAGCTGTTCTAGCTTTTATATTAATTTGTTCATTGATTTGGTGTATTCCAAACCAATTTATTTTTCAATTTCATTCATTTATATATTTATTTTAAAATAAAATTAGTTTTTTTTAAAAAAGTCAAATTTTGGAAAAACCTTCATTCCCCTCATTGCCTGATACCTGAAGATCTAACTATTTGAAAGCATGCAAATTCAAATAAATAACTACAACAGCGTTCTTTGTATAGTCATGACCACAGAAGTGTTTTTGGATGATGCTGGTTCCCTCGGCTAGGAAATGGAGATAAGAGTTGGATGTAACTGGATAAGGGAAACCTTTACCTTTATAGATGGCAGTCTGAATGACAAAATCCCTGCCAGCTAAAATTTGATATTATCTTTCATTGCACTACATCATAATCAATTTACTCAAGCCAGCACAAGAGATACCTGCAACTTTTGTGTGTTTATTGTATGTCACATAAATGATCCATTACAAATGTCAAAACCTCTAATTGTACTATTCTCTTTCTGGTTGATGGGATGTTACACATGAATTTTAATTAAATGATTGCCAATCTTAGCAATATGAAATATATATTATTTAAATAAGTTTGAAATAATCAGGCTATGTTTCCCAATACATCATTCAGGTTATACCTTTGTTCTGCTGAAAACAGGAGTTGCAGAAGAGGTGAACACTTCAGAAGGTAAAGAAAAAAAGTGACTTTGAAGTAGCAGTCATTTCATTCATACCTTAAGGGAGAAATCAAAGAACTTTGATTCTGAGTTCTACACCAATTTGTGCTCTAATATTTAGGCTTAATGCAAAGCAGGGTACAGAAACACAGATGCCTCAGAACCATCCATTCCCACCTGCCTTCCCCACTTTTGATTCTGTTTACATTTCTTTTTTCTCTTTTGCAGTATTCATCATATAGCTCACAAGATAATAAAGGGAATGAACATGTTCTGTACTAAACTGTCAGTCAACAGTACTAACCACAGCTGATAAGAGTATCAGTAACCACAGTTGATATTCTGATTCATGGCTATTGATAAAAAGCCAAAACAGATATGATACAGTAGTTGAAAAGAAAATATGCCACATCCTTCCCATCATTTTAGACCGCAACCTCATCTAGTGATCCAGACACAAGAATTTGTATTCTGTGTTAGTATTTACTACCATATGCCAAACAGCCTCCCTAAACCCAAGACTGGGCATGTAAGGAAAAACTGAAGGGATAGAATTATATTTCAAACTGCAGCAAGCTAGAAAAGGATAATTTAATCCATGTGATTGTCCAAAGGTACTTTTATTTTCAAGAGGCAACTGGACTTTCTGGTTTTTCTTTGAAGACGTTTCGCTTCTCATCCAAAAAGCTTCTTCAGCTCTGACTGGATGGTAGAAGCAACTTCTTGGATGAGAAGCAAAACGTCTTCAAAGAAAAACCAGAAAGACCAGTTGCCTCTTGGGAAAAAAAAAATGCACCTCTGGGACAATCATGACCTGGATGACTGAGAATCTCCATATAGACAAATCTATGTGATTCTTTTAACTTCTCTGCAACTAAAACCCTTTCCCTTGGTGCTTATTTCGAAAAAAAAAGCCCCCCTTAAGCATCCCTAAATAGAATCCCCCTGCAGTCTCAGGGAATCTTTCCACCACCTTGTTCTTAATTTTGTGTTGCACGGGACCAAGCTACAATGCTCCTCAAACTCGACAGCTCCAGTTTTCTACTGTTTTATTTCGGCCTATAACATCTCCCTTCTGGGAATGACTGGAAGATGAAGAGCTATTCTAAGGCAGTGGCTGAAAATCCCGGGGGAAAAACGGTGGGGGTGGGGGGCAATATCAATAATACCCCCTCCCCCCAAAAAGCATCGCCTTCGCGTCAACTTTTTAGTCAGCGTTAAAATGTTGTCCCTCCCCCCCAACCAATCGGATGACTCCCGGCGTCAAGGCAACGGGACCCTGGTCGTCTACTCGCGAGGTCTGACGCTGAGGAAGCGGCAGTATGGTTGCTTAGGCTCGTGACCTCAAATAACAGCGAAGCAGAAAGTGGAACGGCTTGAAACGTTCAAATAATTTCGACTAGCTCGACGGCTGGATTGCGTACATCACGTTCGACAGATCCCGAGCGAGCCCCCACTCCCCCTCGGTGTGAATCCTCGCCTAGTCCCGCGCTCCCTCAGAAAACCATCACTGGAACTCGACGTCACCGGCCAAAAGCCGGTGGAAATTGACCGAGGAAAGGACGATGGTTGTAAGACCGGAATTTCCTCTTTTTTGACGCATGCGCCTGGCTACATAGCGGGTCGCCTAACGGCGCCGGCTAACAAAGGAGCTCTGGCGCAAGCGCAGTGCTAAATAGCGGTGGATTTGGGGGCGTGGCGAGAGCGAGCGAGCGAGAGAGAGAGAGAGAGAGAGAGACGAAGGGGAATCGGCAGAGTTTTCCTGTTTGGAACATCGGCCGATCTGCGAGGGAGGAAGGAAATCTTGCGGGTGGTGCCATGGCGACCACCGTTACTACACAGCGGGGCCCGGTGAGTCGTGTTTGCTTGAAGACCCGGGGACTTTCTCATTTCGCTCATCTTCAGAAGGGGATAAGAGGGAGATGTCATGGGGATGTGTCCGGGGGTGGCCTCTTCCGTTCTCTTTTTCCTGTTGTGTAGCGCTTAGGCGCGGGCTGTGATAACCTGGTTGTCCCTAAAGGCGGCTAGGGTGGGGACGGACAGCTCCAGGGCCGTGATGGTCTTGGCAACGGTAGGTGGAGTCAGAGGTCACCCGGGCTAGAGTCACTTCCAGAGGCAAAATTCAGCTGGCCCGGAGGGCGAGGACCCCCCCCCCCCCAAAAAAAAAAAGAGCTTGAGTGAGGGCCTTCGTGACATGAAAAGCTCGTAAAAATTAAAACCAGCCTGTTGGTTGGTTGATCTAACTTTTCGGGCTTTTTCAGGCCGAGATTTTTCTCCGTAGTAAATGATCGTGCTATGAGCCCAAGAGTGTTCTCAAAGAGAAAAACAAATTTCCAAAAGAGAAATCCTAATTTAAAAAAGGATAATATTGTCGCGCTTCTATCTCTTTCACTTGCTGAGCAGGACGCTCATAGAGTTTGGCTGTAATGACAATCGTTTGTGGCTATTGCATTAACGTATTTTTGACTTTGCTAATAAAGTACCGTGTTTCAGCTATTTCTGCTTAGTCAGAAGCATGTCTGTTTCATCTATAGACAATAGTCAGATGATCCCATGGACAGTTTATCTTTTCAAACATTTGGGGTGGGAAGGGTTCCCCCCCCCCCAGGGTTGGATGTATAATTTTATATCTTCACTATTTACTAAGGATTAATTTATGTGTAGGCTTTATATTGAGATTGAATTGCTCAACCTATTGTATGTTTTTTTAAAAGGATGTATTGGAAGATTGTAGCAATAAAGCAATCCATCTAACTAAAATGGTAATGATTATTAGAAGTCAGCATGGATATGTTAAGAATACACACACACACACATATACACACACATATATCTATGGATATACATACACACACACACATATATATATGTTTTCTTAAGTTTTCGCGGGTACTTACATGTATGGTATTCAGCTTTGTTCGGGTATTTTCCCACGTCATTGTAGTTGTGCTTTTAAAGTTGTAGCAACGTTTTGGCAGAATCTCATCTGCCATCATCAGGCTTCTGTATTGTGTTCGTCACAGGTAGTTGCAACATGTTTTCTTCAGACTCCAATGGAATATGAACTCAAGTTTTAGGATTTTACTTGGGTTGAAAAGATGGTGACAATACTTAGTAGATTTGTAAATGACCCAAACCTAGGTAAGTTACCTAATACTCTAGAGCAAGGCTGTTAAACTCCCGGCCATGGGCCAGATGCCATGCCCGGTTTAGCGAAGGGGAAAAAAATTCTGATATGTCACATGACACCACCGTGAAAACGTGAGTTTGACACCCCTGCTCTAGAGCAGTATTTCTCATCCTGGATAATTAGGTGGACTCAACTCCCAGGATTCCTCAGCCAGCATGCTGGAAGTTGAAGTCTACATGTCTTAAATTTATTAAGTTGAGAAACACAGTTCTAGAGGATAGAAATACACATGAAGAAGATATTGCTGATGGAAAGTTAGTGGCTGAATTAATTTTAATAGAGACAAATGTAAATGCCATAATATTTTTTCTGCTTATATTTGCTTTTTTTCAATGTACTGTCACCAAGCTGTTGATCCCCTTTTCTATACAAAAAGGGATACCTGCTTGGCAATAGTGTATTGGAAAAAAGCAAATGCAAATTTTGGCTGCATCAACAAATGTACAGTTTCCAAATCTTAAGGAATATTACAATCACAAGAATTTATTGTCCAGACCTTTCCTTAACTCTTGGGTCCAGTTTTATGTACTACGTTTTAGAAAGTATTCACACAAACTGGAACAAGTTAAAGAACAACCAAAATGATAATCAGAGGACAGGAAACTAAGTCTTATGAGAAGAGAGAGAGAGAGCAAACTCAGCATGTTTAGCCTTGAAAAAAGATAACTGAAGGAGTATATTGTAATATTCCAGCCATCTGAAGAGATGTGTCACTTTGAAAAAGATGAAAACCTTATTCCGCTGGAGACAAAATAATGATCTTAAGTTATAGGAAGATATATTTCAATTAAATGATAAAAAATAGTAATTGCAGTCTGACAGTGACATCTATTAACCAGAACCATGGTGGCTTCCTCTTCATTGAATGTGTTTAAGTAGAAACTGAACTGATACCTTTCTAGTCATATATTAATGTATAAAGTTTATTTCATAAAAATAGAAAGAGGTTAGGATCTCGGAACATTCACATTCCTTGATTTTTGTTTTATAAAAAGTATTGAAGTATTTTAAATTTTGAAAAGTTACGATTTTTTAAAATCTTCTGCCCTGTTCCCCATTGGAAATAATAATGAAAGCCAATTTGCTGGTAGTTATTTCAATCTTTGACTTTGATTTGGCTGTAAGAGAACCAAAATGGACTAAATTTAGCAAATCATAGTCCATAGGTAAACTCACAAATACCCAACAGCATAGCCCTATACCAGATATCAGGACTCCAGACATCAGTACTATAAGCAAATAAAATGTTTCTTATTTGGAAGAAACTAGGAGAAATGAATTTGGTTGTCAGCATTTTAATTAAAAAATGTGTTGATTCAAAGTTGATCTTCATTCCATCTTCATGGTTTCTGGTCCTTGATAATGCTCATGTCTGACTGCATTTTTATTTCTATTTAATATATTCAAGAAGAAAATGTATTGTGTTATCCTGCATTCCTTATGGCAGAGGTCCCCAATCAATGGGCTGTGAGCTGTTTGCAACCAGGCCACAGAAATAGTGGCCAAGCATGCACATATGCATCCCCACTTGTGTCAGTGGGTGAGTGTGCACGTGTGCTCGATTCACACAAATGGAGCTGCACATGCACGCTTGCCAGCCACTTGCAGGAAACCATCCGCTCTCCCCCACCCCACTCTGCCAGTTTGCAAAGCCAGAAAGGTTGGGGAACTCTGCCTTATAAGTACCATTTTAGGCTTCTCAAATAAATAAATAAATAAATAAATAATAAATAAATAATTAAATGCAATAAATGCAATAAATGAATAGTGCAGAATAGCATATTGACTCACATTTTTATTTTCTGTACTTATACTTCCGCTTCTGGGTTTTTGGTCTTGCAATTCGGCTAGTCACTTTCTCTTAGCCCTAGGAAGAAGACTGTGATAACCACTTCTGGAATTTTTGCCAAGAAAACTACAGGAACAAGTCAAGACAATTGCCAGGAGTCAGCAGTGACTTGAAGGCACACAAACACACAAAAATAGTATTTAGGGAAATATAAACATCTTAATTTCATTGGGGAAACATATATGAATATTTAAAACACATAAAGGTTATGCTTTTGTTTGTTTGAAGATACATAAGTCGTAACAGTACAGATAGGTTCATTCATCAGCTTGTGATTCACATTTGCTAAGAAATAGTGATTCAGATTTGAATACAATATAGTGGACGAAGTAAAGGCCTGAGATAAGAAATAGTGATTAAATCTAGTTTATATGAAAACAATCATTACACTTATTCATATCGTTCTGTCCTGGCTTCTACACATCTATACATCTTATGCATTGGCTTCATCAGTATCATCCATTCCATTTTTTTTAACCTATTCACTTTTTCATTATATATTTATAAATTAATCTAGTGTATATGAATACCCATCTACCCAAGAAGCTCTGGGCAGCAATTCACCATTGACTTCCTCTGTTCTTATTTTACCACATACACTTCTACATTCAGCTTTTAGGTTTTGCGGGACATATCCAGCTCTCACTTTAGTAGAACTAAGCATACTGTTATGTGCAGATTTTTTTCATAAATTGACATTCATTCTTCGACATTCTGTTCATGATCTTTTTCCTAACATTTGCACAGCTTAATTTTTTTTAAATCCATTTCCCCATTTTCCCCATAAATAATGTTTGTTCTTCTTACTGTACTTGCCAGCATTGTATTTAACCTGCAGGCACTCATTTTCACTTTATAAAACAGAACCATTTTTGGTTTTTATAAATACTTTTCCATAGCCAGTCCTCTTGTACAATAAAATTTAACTATCACTGTACATCATTCTCAGTATCTGAGTTGGTTCCCAGAAAATTCAATCAGACTTATGTGAACAACCGACTACAAATTTGTCTGTTACTGATAAAGATACTGGCCTCCTCACGGGTTTATAGAAAAACTGTGGAAAAGAAAAGCCCTTGCTTAATGTAGATGGGGATATATTGGACCTAAACTGAATATAGTACAGTTGCTGAAATTCTTATGCCCATACTCTTTTCATCTTGTATATTTTGCAAAGCGAACCCTAAGAATTGTGCTCAGAAAAGAACTGCTTTCTGTTTTGGCAGCTGTCAAAGAACATGACATAATTGTCATGCAATAGTACACATCTACATCCTTAACCACCACAGTTCTAATGTTACCAGGAGCATTCCTTACATGAATATTTATCCATTAATTTGTTAATCGGAGGAGATTCCAATCTTCAATAGAGACCGAGTGGAGTAAGTGGCCAGTTTTAAGTTTCTGGGTGTTACCCTAAAAGAGGACCTGACTTGGGGTGCCCACATTGCAGTCCTGGTCAAAAGGGCCCAGCAAAGATTATGCTACCTGAGACTTCTCAGAAAACAAAAACTGAATGAAAAACTGCTCGTGTCCTTCTACCGCTGCACCATAGAGAGCATTTAAACATACTGCACCTCTGTATGGTTTGCCAATTGCACTGTGGCAGATAGGAAAGCACTCCAGTGGGTTAATATCATTGCCCAGAAGATCATGGGTTGCCCTCTCTTTGGAAGAGCTTTATAGCTCCCGCTGCCTTAAGAAAGTTCAAAACATTCTCAAAGATCCATCTCATCCTGAGAACTCTTTTTTTTGAACTATTGCCATCTGGCAGACTGTACAGAATAATAAAAACAAGGACAAATAGACTGAAAAACAGCTTCTATCCCAGGGCAGTAGCTCTTTTGAATTCTGCTGTATAATGCAGTGTTGGTGTGGTGTCGGGGGTTTCTGGTTCAATGTGTGAAGGATGTGTGTGTGTGTTTATTTCATGGTCATGATCATGATGTGCACTGAAGATGGTGTTCGATTTTGTTGTACGAGGTGCAATGACAATAAAGCAAACTAAACTTATCAACTGAGGGGCATCACTTATCCTTGGTTTAATATTGAACCACTTCTTAAGGATTCTATTCTCACATAGATGTTAGTTCTATTGTATAATGCTCTTATCACTTCCCTCAACTAACCTTCTTCAATCCTACCTTGGGATAAGTCATTGTATAATCCAGTATTTATTAGTTGTTTTTGCAAATAATTTTTTTTTTGCTTCTTCATATTCATACTTTTCTCACTGACTATTGAACAACAAAAATCTACAATTACAACTCCTTGCTTGCTCCTTCACTGCTGCTTTCCATTTTTTGCTCATAGTAATTGTCTAAGCCAGAATCCCCCAACCTTTCTGGCTTTGTGAACCAGTGGGGAGTGGAGGAGAAGGGATGGTTTCACATGTGCACCCACCGCTTACGCAAATGGAGCGCTTGTACACGTGCTTGCCTGCCGCTTGTACAAGTGTGGATGTGCCCACTGCTTCCATGGCTTGGTTCTGAATGGTTCATGGCCCAGTAGTGGGCTGCAGCCCAGGGGTTGAAGACCTCTGGTCTAAGCGACTCAGTCACAAGTCAAGAACTTACCTATATAGAGGAACAAGAAAAATAATTGCATTGTTCCACTTTTCATTCAAAGATGCATCCCCCCACCCCCGAGGTATGCTACTTGCTCAGTTGTTCCATAATCATCAGATCCATATTTTAATATAAAACACCCATACCTGAAATGACTATTTTCAATAGTGTTCATAACTTCCTTTTTTTTTCTTTGCCATTAGCATTTATAACATTGTTTTGGCAAGTGAATGAATAGTCATGCTTTGCAACTCCATATAATCACTAAATATCATACCACTTGTTAGGTCTGTAGATAATTTAAGAATGTATTTTATCTGTTTTTTTTTTTTAATGAACAGTGGTTGAGGTTTGTCGCTTCATTGATAATTAAAGATGACATATGATATACTATAACATTACATTTAATACAGATAATGCAATGTAGTGGAACTAAAAAGTTACCCAATTCTAATTCGAAAGAAAAGGAAAGATCATTCATGGAAGAAAGACCTAAACTATTTTTACATAATTTCAGTATTTATAAAATACTGATAATTTCAGTATTTATACTCTCAGATGTAAAATCTCTAAAGTCTAGATATTAACTTTAGATGGCAATAGATTTTTTTTCTTTTAATAATCCTAGATAAATGCATTGGAAAGATAAATATATGGCCTCATTCAATCCTGAACTGATTATACATGCCACTATGAGCAGATTGCCTACAGATGTAAACTCTGTATGGACAAGTATAATGAAATATAGGACTCATTTATACGTAATAAAATAGGTTTTTAAAAAGTACAATAGTTTTATATATTTGTTAGAAAAATACACATACACATAATTCACTTGGATATTTACATTGTAACTTTACTATTGACACATCATACATTTTATACTTTTAATTTTTTTCTATTGTATTTTTCACTTTTAAATCACCGGTTACATATTTTTTTTGGCAATGCATGTATCTGTGTTTTGCTCTTTCTTGTTTTCTTTTTCTGTTATTTTAAAAATAAAATAATTTACAAATGAAAGCAAATATATGTGTCCCAGGATAATGATGCAAAATTGAATTTGGGTCGGTTACTTTTACTTCTTTCACCTGAATTGAAATTATTTCTCATTGAGGACATTTTGGTATGGGGTAAGCAAGTGAAAATAAGAGCAGGTTATATTTGTGTTGCTATTAAACTGTGTGTTAATGCTTAATTTTAGAATTTGCAGGATGGATAACAATGAATGAGAACATTCAGAGAGACACCAGGATAATACTAAATCTTGAAAATGATTTATTAAAAAATTGTCCCTGAATATACTTATAGTATCAGAAGGAACCAATCTCAAACAACTGGATGAGCCCAAGTGGCATGGAATGTTTCCAGAGCTTGACTCATGAGGAAGTCAGGTAGAAGGGCAAATCTTACAGCCCTTTTTATCCAGTCTTCCACTGTTTGGAATGCTCATCCTGGTGCTGGGATAAGTAGCAAGAAGGAAATTAATGTTTGTATTTACATTGATTGGAGAGGAAGGGATTACAAGAGAGTGAGCAGGCACATGGTTGGAAGTACACAAAAGAAATTCATGAACACTGGCTGATTCCCTAGCATTCTTGAGCTATCAGCCAGAGGACTCTAATCTACTAATTAAGATCATAGAGCTGAGCTTGTTAACTTGCAGTTAGTACTTTTTAGGGATGTGGAGAAAAGCAGCTCAGGAAGAGATGTTTAAGCAGTCTTTCCACTTGGTGAGGAGGGGAAAGCAGGTCAGCAACAGGGCATTGCAATACTGTAATGGCAAACATGATTAAGAGAGAGACATTAGACATGTTGTAAATATATGCATTGGTTGCATGTTTACTTTTTTCTCACAGTTATAATTGTGAGTGGACCTCTATTGAAGCAGTTGCTAAACAAAGACAATATATATTGATTAAGATGGCAGTTAGTGTTCTATTTGCAGTATGCTTACTTATATATTAAATTGTTCTAAAATAAAATGAGGTGGGATTATTCTCATAGGGATCACGTTAAAGATCTGACCGATATGGTATGTGTGAAATATAAAGCAGTGATCCCCAACCTTTTTTACGCCGCGGCCCGGTATCCCCAACCTTTTTTATGGCGCGGCCCGGTACCGACATCAGCTGGGCGCCGCCATTTTGTTTTGATGAAAAAGTGCTTCTGGTGAGCTCACCGGAAGCACTTTTTCATCAAAACAAGATGGCGGCGCCCAGCGCTTCCGGTGAGCTTTTCCAGGTAGAAATGGCTTTCTACCCGGAAAAGCTCACCGGAAGCGCTGGGTGCCGCCATCTTGTTTTGATGAAAAAGTGCTTCCGGTGAGCTTTCTACCCGGAAAAGCTCACCGGAAGCACTTTTTCATCAAAACAAGATGGCGGCACCCAGCAATCCAGCGGCCCGGTAGGACTTGTTCCACGGATCGGGACTGGTCCCCGGACCGGTGGTTGGGGACCCCTGATATAAAGAATGGTTAGAAGCAGAAAAGAATGGAACATCAGAAATAGATACATTTAAAGAGGGCAGTTGGGTGGATGAGAGTATAGTGGGCATTATCTAACTGGATTATGTGTTTTCCTCCATAGGTATATATTGGCGAACTTCCTCAAGATTTCCTTCGTATCACCCCAACGCAGCAGCAACAACAAATCCAATTAGATGCTCAGGCAGCTCAGCAATTACAATATGGAGGAGCTATGGGTACTGTTGGGAGACTGAGTGTCACTGTAGTGCAGGTATTTTAAAAAGTACACTTTAAAATATACGTCTCCATGTCAGCCTATAAAATTAAAAGAGTATCACTGGCTCCTGGCTAATAATTATTATATATTGTTCTTACAGGACATAACAAATTATATGCTGTAGTAAACATACATTATTTCTAGAATTGTATATTGTTGTAGTAGTACAAATTATCTTTAAAGTCATTAATCAGCCTCTAGTATGAGTATATACATTTAATTAATATGTGGTTTTTTATTAGGAGGTTTTAAATCATCTAACATCAAGTACATAATATGTCTGAATGTGGTCAAGGAGGTTACAGATTCATTCCTACACAAAGGACTGGTCTCAGTTTCATTAACAGATTACTCTCATATTGTCTTTAATTTGTCTGTTTGGCAGAAATCCATTTTGATCAGGATGGATAAAATTATTTAAGTATTTTTTAAGTCTTTCTGCCAATATTGAAGCAAAAATTTTATAATCTGCGTTTAGAAGGGAAATAGGTCTATAGTTCTTGATTGGTAATGGATCGGCCTCCTCTTTTGGAACAAGTGTAATATAAGCTTCTGACCATGATTTAGGTATCTTCTTCTTTAGCATAACTTCATTCATAACTTCTAGCAATGGGAGATTCAACGATTCTTGTAATGTTTTATAAAATTCTGCCGGGAGTCCATCTGGGCCTGGTGCCTTTCCATTATTTTGCTTCTTAAGTGCTTCAGTTAACTCCATCATAGTTATATTGCTTTCTAACATTTTTTCAGTCTCTTTAGGTATCTTGGGTAAATTAGCATTCTGTAAATACTGCTTAACTCTTTCCTCATCAATATTCTCTTGCTTATGTAATTTCCCATAAAAGTCTCGAATGATTTCCTTCTTCTCTTTACCATGGCAAACTTGGCCTTGATCATCTATTAACTGCAATATTTTCCTTGATTCTTTCTCCTTTCTCAGTTTATATGCTAACCATTTACTTGGTTTGTTTGCATCTTCAAAGTAGTTCTGTTTAGCACCTCTAATTTTCTGTGCTAATTCCTCTTTCTCTATTTGACCCATTTTGTGTTTAATTATATCCATTTTTAGCTTAATGTCCTTTTTCTGTGACATTTTCTGTAGCTCTTTTTCAAGTATTTTATACTCATCCTCTAGAGCAGGGGTGGGCAAACTTTTTGGCTAGGGGGCCTCATTGACTTTTAAAATTTGACAGACGGGCCGCCATCTGGTGTCAAAATGCCTGTCATTACAAGTCAAAATCAAATGAATGCAATCATTCAATCATTCACATCAAACCTTAATTCTGTACCAATCTTCGGCGGGCCGGATTAAAAAGACCAACGGGCCAGATGTGGCCCACGGGCCGTAGTTTGCCCACCCCTGCTCTAGAGCCTTAGAGGCTTGCCTTTTCCTAGTATTCCTTTTCCTTGTATAATCTATTATCAAGCCTCTAGCATATGCCTTCATTGTATCCCATACATTCTGAATTGATGTATCTTTTTTTATTTTCTCTAAATAAAAAGGCCAATTCTTTCTCCATCCACTGTGTGAAGTCTTTTTCCTTTAAAATAGTATTATTTAACGTCCATCTCGATCTTCTTTTTTGTCCTTTCCATTTAATTGTCATTGGATTGTGATCTGCCCAAGTACTTATTTCAATATTTATTTCTTGAATATTAGATATTAATTCTGTTGACATCCATATGATATCTATTCTGGACCATGATAAATGTCTATTTGAATAGAAGGTATATTGTTTAGTTTTAGTATTTCTTTCTCTCCATGTGTCTTTTAAATTTAATTCATCAACCATTTTAAAAAAGGATTTTGGGAGAGTCTGTTTTGCTTTGTTGTTGTTGCTGTATAGTCCAATTTATTGTCTACAATTCCATTAAAATCTCCCATCATAACTATATTGGCATAGTCCAGTTCAATTATTTTCATATGCAATTTTTTGTAAAATTCTTCTTGTTTGTCATTCGGAGCTTAGATTGCAATCAGGAGTGTTTTCATATTATTGTCCATTATTTCCACCATTAGTACTCTTCCATCTTCATCAGTATAAATCAATTTTGCTGGGGTGGTCTCTTTAATATATAAAACCACTCCTCTTTTCTTACATTGGGTCAAGGAGGTAAATATTTTCCCTAATTTTGGCTGTACCAACAATTGTTCATATTGTTTTTTAATATGTACTTCTTGTAGACAAATTATATCAAATTTTAATTTCTCTAATTTATGAAAAGTTTTCCTTCTTTTGGCGGGTGAGTTAAGTCCATTTATATTAATTATAATCAGTTTTTTCTCTTCCATGGTTATATTTTATAGTTGGGTTTAGCAGCTCTTGTAGATCTTGGTTCACGTTGTTCTTTGGCTCCCTCCTTTCCACCTACTGCATCTTCTTCTTTTTCAGTCTCCATTTGACAGTCCTCTTGGAATTCAATTAGTGAGATCTCTTTTTCTGCCTCTTCCTCTTTCCTTCCAAAAAATTCTGTATAAAATAATTCAGCTTTCTCAGTTGAATCAGTTCTATGTCTCTGTTCTTGCCATGTGAACATTAACCCTTCTGGAATCAGCCATCTATAATTCACCTCTTTTTTAAGTAGCATTTTAGTCAGGAATTGGTATTCTCTTCTCATCTCTCTCACTCTTCTGGGTATTTGTTTTAAGACCACAATCTCCTTGCCTTTGTATTTCAATGTTTTCTCTCTTGCCACTCGCAATATTTGCGTTTTAATGGCTTTCTTTGTAAATCTAATATGAACTTCTCTTGGTAAGCTATTTCTCATCGCATATCTTGTAAAGACTCAATATACCTCATCTATTCCATCCATCATCTTCTCTTCAGTTATTTTCAAAGTTTCGGCCAATATTTCTATCATTATCAGCTAGATTTTGTCCTTTTTCTTCCTCTATGTTTTGAAATCTAAGATAAAATTCTAATCTGTCCATCTCCCATCTCAGCATACCACTTTTATCTTGTTCAACTACAGTTAATCTGTTATCAATGTTTCCAATCTTCTTGTCTCTTTGTTTATCTTCTTCTTCAATTTTTTGGAATCTCTCGTCATATTTCGACATCATTTGTTGAATGTTCTCCACTTTTTCATCAGTTTTCCCTGTTCTTTGTTCGATGTTCTCTATTCTCTTTTCAATAGTCTCTGATCGTGCTTTAATATCTTGGATTCCTTGCATAATCATCTGTAGAGTCACTTTTTCTTATTCTTTTTCTTGCTTTAACATTGTCTGTATTGAACGTTGTCCTCCAGATGGTGGAGAGGCAGAAGTAGAAGTTGAGGATCCAGGAGCTGTAAGTTTCCTACTCATTTTAAACAATTCAAAATCTTCAGGTTCTTCTAAACCTTAATCCAATTGTGAAGTAGCCAATTATAATTCAGAGTAAAAAATAAAAATGGTAGAGAGGAAAAAAGCCCAATAGTAATAAAAAAAAGGGGGGGGGGAGACAAAAATTCTTCAGGTTCTTGTAAACCTTAATCCAATCAGTAGTTAAATAAAGAAAAAGACTTAAAAAAAACAAGAGAAGGGGAAAAATTCTTCAGGTTTTTCAACACCTTAGTCCAATTGAAAGGTCTCAAATATAAAAAAGTGCATAAAAATGAACCAAAAGGGTAGATAAAACAAAAACAAAAAATGCCAGGAAAGAAAAGAGAAAAGGCTTTTAAGGCTTTCCCTTTAAAATAAAAAGCAAACGTGGAGATTGGACTTCCAAAAAAAAAAAAAAAAAGACAAAAACAAGCTCCAACCAGGCCAAAAACCCAAATAGTTATTACAAGAATAAAGATTTTTTTAAAAAAAATACAGTAAAGCTGGTAAGGAGGGATAGCACAGCTTAGAAAAAATAAAAAGAGCACACTGCACTTTGCACTAAACAGTTATCCAAGGCTCTTATTTTAACTCTCTTCTCCAAAAACTTATCACCTTTTCTTTTCGTAAGCTTCAACACCAGGCTCCAGCTGTTGATAGAAATCCAGAAGAGCACCTGCAATAACACTCTCCCATGCTCTTCCCTCTATCTTATCTCATAGCAATGTCCTTGAAAAGGAGTCTCAGTTCTTTCTTTCTCAGCTTTCTCAGCTTCATCTGGTCACAGGAAATAAAGCATTTTCAAGCCTCTAGTTGGCAGTGTTACAAAGTTTCTTTGCTCTCACTTTCCCCCTCCTTTCCCAAGCAAAACGTAATAAAAATTACCAAAAAAAGAGGAAAGAAATATTAAAAAAGGGAAGTAACTAAGTAACTAAAGGGAGTCTCTAGCCTGAAATATTACAAAATCAAAAAGGAGAAGAAAAGATAGGTATAAATAAGAAAAGAACCAGTCCAGTTTCAAAAATACAAAATCACGTATAGAAATCCAGCAATGAGAAAAAACAAAACAAAACCTTACTTTGACACTTCCGTTTAAAATCGCCGCTTAATCACTTCTGTCAAAACTTTTACAGATTCTTTTCCTTAGGGTGTCCTTTCAAGTCTTAGAATAAAAAAGTTCTCACCAAACCGGCACACTCTCTCTTTCTGCTCTCTTCCGTTTCGGAGCTGTCCCAACTTCAGCAGCTTTAATGGCTGCCTCTTTGCCGCTGGCAAGAAGAGCTTCTGGATCTACCAGGGACTTTGTGGTATCCCTGGGATCAACAGGATGCGCTCTTCACTTTCACCATCTCTTCGGGACGGTTTAGATCCGTTTGGACCGTCCAGGGGCAAAGATATCAGCTGCGATCTCAGGCCTCCGAGATCGCATGCTGTATTGTCGCGACACCAGCTCCGCCCTCGCCATGGGGTTTTTCAAGGTCCCATTTTATTCCTTGTGTTCACTGCCTATATGAACAGCTGGATAAGAATATTGAAAGATTAAGAATAAATGCCCTCTCTAGGCTAATGGTAGTCAGTTCCCTTTGTCCTTTACATCAGATTAAGGAGAGGCAGCAGAATGCTGAATTAATGCCTGGCTGCAATAATCAAGGCCAAAAAAACTGAATTTCAATCTAGATAAGAGAATTCC